TCACCCCCACCCCCACTCCTACCCCACCAGCTCTATACAACATATACATATACATACACTCACCATCACCATTTTCTACCATCACTTCCTCCACAACTTCATACCCACGTCTAAAAATACCTTCTTTACCCCTTCTCTATTGAGATTTTTATTGTAGGATCACCGGAAAATCAAGAAAATGGCTGAAGAAACCAAGAAACCTTCTTCTGATGAAACTACGCCGGCGACAACTCAAGAGGTTGTCGTCTCTGATGTCCCCTTGCCGGAAAAGGAATCCACCCCTCAACCTGAACCGGTACCTGTTCCTGAGACACCGGAAAAATCTGCTGTTCCGGTGCCGGAGGAAACTGAAGCTGCAAATGTTACGGAAAAAGCTCCAGTCACTGAATCTGCTTCGTTTAAGGAAGAGAGCAATAAAGTTGAGGAACTACCAAATCCTGAGCAAAAGGCTTTAGCGGAGTTGAAACAGTTGGTTCAAGATGCTCTGAACAAACATGAATTCACTGCTCCACCACCACCCCCGCCGGTCAAGGAGGAGGAGAAGAAACCAGAGGCTGAAGCAGCAGAACCTGTAGCTGCTGCTGTGGCAGAGGAGGAGAAAAAGGAAGAATCTTCTGCTGCTGAACCCACCACCGATGCTGCACCATCTGAGACTCCGGCAATCGCGGAGCCGGTGAAGGAAGAGCCACCAGTTCCAGCGGCTGTGGTAGAAGAGAAGAAAGAAACTCCACCTGTAGTGGAAGAGAAGAAAGAAATTCCACCTGTAGTAGTGGTAGTGGAAGAGAAGAAATTCCACCTGTAGTAGTGGAAGAGAAGAAAGAAATTCCACCTGTAGTAGTGGAAGAGAAGAAAGAAATTCCACCTGTAGTAGTGGAAGAGAAGAAAGAAACTCCACCAGCAGCAGAGCCGGTCGATAAAGTGACTGAAAAGGTTACAGCAGAGGAGGAGGATGGTTCTAAAGCCGTTGAAGAAATCAAAGAGACGATTGTTGAAGTGACTGCCACCAGTACTGCACCGGTGGAGGAGACAGCAATTCCGGCAGAAGAAGTCCCAGCAACAGAGGAAGATGTAGCACCAGAGGAAGTTTCCATCTGGGGAATTCCCTTATTAGCTGATGAGAGAAGTGATGTGATCCTTCTCAAGTTCCTCCGAGCCAGAGATTTTAAGGTGAAGGAAGCTTTTGCTATGCTGAAGAGTGTGGTAGCATGGCGTAAGGAGTTTAACATTGATGAACTTTTGGAAGAAGATCTGTCAGGATTAGGACTAGAAAAAGTGGTGTACAATCATGGTGTGGACAAGGAAGGACATCCAGTGTGTTACAATGCATTCGGGGCATTTCAGGACAATGAATTGTATCAGAATACTTTTGCTGACAAGGAGAAAATGAACAAGTTTCTGAGATGGCGTATTCAGTTCATGGAGAAATCAATCAGGAATCTTGATTTTAGCCCTGATGGCATATGCACTTTTGTTCAGGTTATTGATCTCAAGAATTCACCTGGACTTTACCTTTACAAGAAAGAACTTCGCCAGGCTACCAACCGTGCACTTCAGTTACTCCAGGACAACTACCCTGAATTTGTTGCCAAGCAGGTATACTTTCGTCTGTTTCAATAATAAATACAATACAATACAATACCACTGTATCAAAGTATCTCATCATTTCTAATAAGTACGGTCCATTCTTTTATTCCTTACTTTGTCAATTGTGAATTAACTGGATGGACTTTGATGTTGATGGTAATGATGAAGGTGTTCATCAATGTGCCATGGTGGTATCCAGCTTACTACAGGATGATCAATGCACTTTTCACTACCAGGACCAAGAGCAAGTTTGTGTTTGCTGGTGCTTCAAGATCTGCTGAGACTCTCTTCATGTCAGTGGACTACTCTTTTTTAACTACTCTTCATGTCAATTGAATGATGATCTTCAACCTAATATTGATCTGTGTGTTGACAATCAGATACATTGTCCCTGAGCAAGTTCCAGTTCAATATGGTGGACTTAGCAGGGAGGGTGAACAGGAATTCCCCATTGCTGACCCTGCCACTGAGGATATCGTTAAGCCTGCTTCCAAACACACCATTGAATTTCCAGTTACTGAGGTATACTAACAACCTCTATACTAAAACGTATTTGTCGGAGTATATTGAATGATATTTAAGAGATTAATTTGTAACTTGCAGAAGAGTAATTTGGTGTGGGAAGCAAGAGTGGTTGGATGGGATGTGTGTTATGGAGCTGAATTTGTGCCAAGTGCTGAAGGTGGATACACGATTATCGTCGAGAAATCAAGAAAGATTGCAGCAGCAAATGAAACAGTGATCACCAACAACTATACGGCACCAGAAGCAGGCAAGGTGGTGCTTACATTTGATAACCAAACATCTAAGAGGAAGAAGCTTGTCTACAGATCCAAGACCAAGCCTTCTGATTAAAACAAACATATGTTGTTGAAAAGCTTTCAAAGATCAAATCACATAGTGGAAAATAAGGAGAAAGGGTTCTGTTCTTTTGTTCTTTCATAGCTTTTAAAAATTCTATTTTTCTTGTTGATATTAAATTTAATTTTGAGTGTGGGATATTTATTTGTTTTTGGATTGTTTTGCTACAAGTAAGGGGTTTGCAATTGATGGAGAAGAAAACAATGTATACAGAATGTGGTTGTAATGTGTTGGTTGGAATGTGGACAGAAAAACTTTGATCACTAGCTGTTGATATATTCTTGTAAAATTGTGTGTAAATATGGTGTTCTTGTCTTTACTGTTCTTTCTCTTTTTGTGCATGTTGCTGTTAATTAATGTCTCCCTACATTCCTTTGTCACTTTGTTCATAAGAATTTTGTTCTTTTTTCTGTCTTTTATGTGATCATTTCATTATGTGCTATTTTGTTTACTATTACTATATTTCAAACTCCTCTTAACAGTAAACTACTTGATCATTAATTGTTGGCTAAATGGTCTGGTGGACCCTTGTATTTGTACTCGTTTGTATTGTGAACCCTTCTACTTATCCCTTTGTCATCTGAACCCCCGAATTCATTTAAACTCAACATGTTGAATCCTTTCAACTAATTGTGACTCTCAATCACGCTGATGTCACATTCCATGTAAGATAAATTTTGCCACATCATTTTTTATAATAATTTATTTTTGGACAATTATTAAATAAAAGGTAAATTAATAAATTTTAAATTGATTATTTAAGAAAAAATTGGGAATCCACGCCTCCACTCCGGTTGCAACCGCGTAACATCCAAAATCCACCAGCGATGTCGCCGCACCACCGCTCCTCTCGCCGGCGAGATCTGTACTTTCTCCTTCATCGTCTCCATCTCCATCGCAAACCCTCACTATTTTCTTTCCTCCTTCTCCAACCACCACAAAATCAGCAACCCTAAGCCACTACACCACCGGTGACCCCCCTGCGAATCATCAACGACAACCTCTCCTCTCCGTGCTCTCCGTCTATCAACAAACACCCTCATCGCCTCCCGTTCTAGTGAAAAGGTATCAGTGTTGCCTTTCTCTCTCTCACTCCACTGCAAAATCAATGGACTCCAGCGAGCATTGCTATAAAATTAACCTATGCCCTCTCTCCCTCCACTGATAACAGCTTGAAACTTGAAGTCAAGGAGGTCCCAATGCCAAATATCCGTTAAAGATCAAGATGACCATAGGTATGGAGAAGAAAGAAAAAGTAGTTGGGGGTAGGGATGGGGATGGCAGCGAAAAAGTGGGTGGAGTTGAGGGAAGGAGAGGGATCTTTTTAAATTTATTATTATTATTATTATTATTTTAATATCTTAAGTTTAAATATGATGTTCACTTGCGTTCAAATGCGTGTAGTCACACTTTCTCGCCAACTCAGCCATCTTAATGCCACATAAGCTTGGTCAATGGTCAGAGAGATTTGATATATTGTGTTTTATTGAGTTTAAGGGCTCAATTGGTAAATGATTAAGTAGAAGTGTCCATAATACAAACTCGGACAAGTATTGGGGTCCATTAGACCATTTCGCCTTAATTGTTTTGTAAATTTAATGTGATGCTAAAGTTAGAACTTGGAAGATTAGGCTTAAACTTGGGACCACTTATTTAAAGCATAGTTGGCTTACCTCTCCCTCCTATTCTATTTTTATACTCTTATTTTTTTTTAGTTTTTTTTTTTTTTGGGGAATTTTTGTTTTGCTTATAAAGATCTTTATAAGAGAATTGAAAAGATGGTTTTGTTTTATTCAATTTGTAAGTGTTCGTAATAGCTCATTTTCTCGTCTATATCAAACCAAACAAATACAAGAGTTACAATAATCACTTGCATATATTTTTATTTTAAATTGATAAATTTAAATCAATTAACAGGATAAATATTTTTGTAAGTATTCATTAATAAACTTGTTTTAATTTTTATATTTTTGTATAAGATATTTTTAATTTTATACCTAACAAATTTTTATTTTTATACGTAATAGGTTTAAAAAGAATCATTTTCTTTTATTTAATTTATAAGGGGCAATAAATATTATTTCATCGGCCAAGTTTGAATTAAATCCATTCAGATAAGAACTTTATCGAACTTATGTAAAAAAAATTTAATACTATCAATATTTAACATGATTTGATGGGATATTGCATTTTAAAAAAAATACTAAAAAGGCATATGGGAATCACTTGAGTGGGATAATTGATCGTAAAAACTGTTTCTCTTTTGAAAAAGTGGAAACAAAAAATGCTTTAGAATATGAAAAGCTGGAGAAATACTGTCCAACCACTTTATTTTTATTAGAAGAAAAGGATGAAAACAAATATCTGTATGAAGATCTGTCTTTCACTTAACATAGTAATCTTAGCTTTAAGATTCTTAGGACCATTTGGCAAAGATTTTATATATATATTTTTTTTTTAATATTTTCTTTTAGCAAAATCTGTTTGGCTATAGAATTTTTGTACTTCAAAACAAAAAGTCAAAAAACTCCATTACAATTTGTCTTGAGAAAACATGATTTAGCTAACATAAGTTTTTCATCGATGGTACCCTAATTGCTTAATCCAACTTTAGCGAGATATTTGTTCATAGGACAGAGAAAATCATTTATTGATTTAACGACTTACAAAAAATTAAGCTAATCAATGTTATCATTTGATTATGTTATATACTCTAATGTGTGAAACACTGAAGCTAACTATTTTAGTTGTATTTTGTTGTGGTGCAAATATGGATATAATTTGTGTAATGACTTTTGCATAATGTGTTATCCAATTTACTGTAAAATCAATAATTTTGATAATTTTTAGAATTTATAAATATAAATTATGGTTTCATGTTTATTTTTCTTAAAAAGTAAAATATATAAAAATTATGACCAAATTTTTTTTTATCCAAATTTAATTTCCCCAAAATATTTGAATATGACCAACGCTAGTATGTAATTTGCTTTAGATTAAGGTGGAACCTGAAAAGATAAAAAGACTATCATTAAAGTTAGACTACTAATCATTGTGCCCACCAAACTTTACTTGAGAAAATAAGTGAACATAATCCTTTGATAATTTGAATTAATTTGAATAGAAAGAAAATACTTTTTATTATAATTTCATGTTCCAGATGTAAAAATAAAAGTTTATGATTAAAAAAAAGGATAAAAACTAAAAAATATATATTTTAATAAAGACGTATGAAACTAATTGATGGATAATAGAAAAGTGAATAAATACAAAGTTTTAATATGGTTAGTTCTTCTCTCGTTATCGATGAGTAGTTTTAGGTTTGATGACCCCTAATTTTGTAAGGAAAGTGAAAGAGACCCACCAATAATGTTATTTGGACACTCATGGTACAACTGTTTCTCTAAACCAAAAATATTCTTGGTGGAAGTTAAAATCTTTTGCCTCTAATTCTTGATACCTTTCCTAAAAAATGAGGAAAATTGTGGAGGGGGAAATTATTAAGAAATCAGTTGGAAATTTGTGCTAATTGAGATATTTACAAGGAGTTTAGAGAGAAAATGACAAAAATGGTTCTTAATCTTGGTAGTACGTTCATAATAGTCTCTTAGATATTAGTTGAGTGATTTTAGTCTTTTAAGTTTCTTCAAATTGAGTATTTTTTATCTTCACTAGATAATTATCAAGTTCTGAGTTTTGATTAAAAAAGTATTTTATATTTTAATTAAATTTAATAATTACAATTTGATAAATATTTGACTGAGATAAAAATGTTTATTTTTGACAAATTTAAAAAATTAAAATAGCTTTATTGACACTTGTGAAACTATTTTAAACCTACTATCAAAGATAAGAAACAATATTTCTCATTTTCTCGAGTTTAAAGGAAGATCATCAGTTTCTTGGATGCTTTTGTTTCAAAATAAAACAAGAAGTTTAAATGACAAATAACTCTTCTTTCTTCAAATTGTCTGTAATTCTTACACCTTATTTGGATGGTTATTACCCGTTGTATTGTATTGTATTGTTACTTTAAATATAATGTTTGTTTTGATTGTTACTTAAATTCTATTGTATCGTATCGTTTAAACTCATCGTTAGGTAACGACGAAAAGATCCATTTTATGTAACGACCGATTTGGTGTGATCCGTCTTTACCTTAATATTTTCTTCTCATTTTATCTTTATTTATTATTCAATAATTATATTTCATCTTTTACCCAACATTTTCATAATAGATCTACCCCTTATCCTACCTTTCTTGTAGGTTAATTTATCATTCAAATTATAGATGTAACATTATGTAATAATGGAGAACGATACAATCTATCCAAACATTGTATTCATTAAAACAATACGGTACAATACAATATAATATGAAACAATACGTAACAATCATCCAAACAAAGTGTTAAATGACTTAGGGATTGTATGGTTGAATGTATAAGAATAATGCTAAATATATATAGTGTATTAGTGATGTTTATATTAGTTATGAAGAGATTATTTCTTATGCATTATTTGGTTTGGTGTATCAAAAATAACATGCATTACATAATTTCTAAAGAAAATTATTTACAAAATAACCCTCCACAAATATGATAAATAAGAGAGTTTTTGACTAAAAACATACTTAAATTATACCCCCAACTTAAACTACATCCTTAAATTATCCCTTTTAACAAAAAACATCTTCCAAGTATTTAAAACTTAACAATTTTCATCCCTCTATTAAAATTTGTCAAAAAATTAGCGAATTCCACACAAAAACATATGCAATTCATATTATTCTCATAAAAAAAAATCTATAATATTATTACCGGTTGGAAAAAATATCGAAAAAAATTTGAGACTCGTATTTTCTGTTAAAAAAATAATGTTAGGACTGTGTGAGTCAACGAGGAGACATGATCTCCTCTTCTCCTTTACCAACTGAATGAAGTTGGAGCTTAATTTCACACAATCCTCACCTTGCAAAGTTAACATGTCGTTAGAACAATAATTTTTTGGGCCAATTGATAATTGAGGTGATCAAGATTCAGGTAAGTTTGATCTCTAGTACTCAAATTTCATTTTTCATTATTAGAAGAAAAAGTCTCACCACTTTTTGCAGATTCAATGAAAACAAAACATTTCCATTGATACTTCTTTGATATCAAATCAAATGAAAAGTAAATAAAAATAAAGTTGCTAATTCAAAGGAAGACAATGCAAAATGTTGTTACTAAAAAAATTATAATATTATTTTAGATGTATGTAGAATGAACATAATTGATTTATTGGGTGATTTAGAGAGTTTAATTTGTTGAGAATAGTGTG